TGGATAACAGCTGTATACACAAAAGATAAATAGATACATTCTATTTGGGGAGCTGGTAACAATATCACAAACTCCTGCCTTCCTGGCTAGAATTAGCAAATACTTGCAAATAGAGATACAAAAGATGGCAGACATCACCAACAACAATTAGGAGACAGTCACTGACCAGGTTATGCTTTCTGGAAGTTGACTCTTCAGAAGGGCTTCAGAAGAGTAGAGAAAGTTGGAACGCACGATTGCAGGGGTGGGGGGGGAAAACATTCACATTTTCATCCTGTTTATTTGTCTCCATAGCAAATGTGGCAGAGACTGCCATGCCAGAATGTGGCACCTGACTCTTAGCAGGTGATACTTCATGTAGAATTGATCACTATGGTACAAACCAAATCTCAGGTTTGACAGCTGTCACTGTTCTAATTAAGCTTTAAGATTTAATTTTTAATTAAGATTTTACTCAGCATTAAAATAAGAGACTTCGGAAAATAACACTTTTTTCACCCCTTGGAAGGGGTGTAGGACTAGTTTTGTTGCTGTTGATGTGCTAGCATAGACACAACAGGTCGTGACTTTCCTATGATTTTATGAAGAACAATTCAGTTACAGGATCAAATTTCCAACTTCAGTCATACATGAATTGAAAGATTTGACATCAAAGCACTTAAAATTGGGTCTTCCCACTGTCATATGCCTTTATACATTAAATATAATCCTTTCAATAATTAATGTAGGCTAGTGACCACCATTTTGGCTCCTTCAATTGTTATTTCTTCAAGCAGAAAGATAGAGCATTAATTTTTTAACCTTCAATTACAAGAACATAAACACATTCATAATTATATTTTTCTTCAGAATCAGGAATATTCCATTTTATTTGGATTGCGAGCCCTTGCATCTGTTAAGCTTGGTGGAAGCAAAAGAAATGTTGAGGCCATTACGTTGCCACTAAATCAATTTTATCATCATGCTTTCAGGGAAATAGTGATTGCCTTATTCTTCTCTTCTCCTTCTTCTGCAAGCACACACACTCTTCAGTTAGGGGGACCCAGCTTTGATGCTCATAAACTCCACTCATATGATCACCCTTAAACACAAGTGTTGCACCCAAGCTTTGACAAGACTGAATAATGTTTATCCCCAAAGCCAGATATTGGAAACTGGATTTCAGTAAGTTCATTCTGTGCTATTAAAACCAGTAAGAAGCTTTAAAAACACTTAAAAATTGAACTGGTTCATAAAAATAACTGTTTAGATCAAAAAGATGTCCAATGCATAATCATATGAAGCAAATAATGCAGATTACTTTGAAGTGCAGCCTTACATATTTGGGATACTTGGCTGTTCGGAAGTTTGTGCTCTCCACATTCGTAAAATATATTCAGGACAACGTGGCAATTTGAAATGTGTCATTTGTACATCTTGGAGGTATGATAATTTGCATGAACACTCACTTAAAAAGTGCATAAAAAGGCAAAAATAGAATTCACCCAAGGGACAAAATTCACCCTTAGTCACCCAAGGGCATCATGGTCTTAAACACCCAGGATCTTTCCAGCCATGTTTCAGTAACTTTAAATTTGTTTTTTTTTTAACTAAAGTGGACATTAATTTCCAGGTGATTCAAGTTTAAGTGTTGATTAGCAGTGATCACAGCACTCTAGATCCACACATCTGATTTTTGGGCATCCAGTGAACAGTCTGGGTAAGTTGGAGGACCTCCTCGTAGATGAGCTCCTAGACCTAGCCAAATTGACTTTGAATTAGGTCCAGGTAGCAGATTGTGGAGGGTTAACACAGTATGTGTTGGAGGAACACAACAGGCTAGGCAGCAGAGGAGCCGGAAAGTTGATGTTCTGGGTCAGGACTTTTCTACTGTCTGCCCCTCTTCCACAGCTACATTCGTGTCTGGATATCTTTTGACAGTGACCTTGAGGCCTTTACAGAAAGGTGGGCACCTCACTACTTTAACTCCCTATCCAACTTTAGCCCTTTCCCATGCTCCCTAACTTTTTGATGATTTGCACTGAGCTTAAGAGGCTTTGCATGTAAATATCCAATTGGCTGTACTGGTGATTTAGTGGTAGTAGTTGTTTTTTTTATTTTAAAACTCATCAGTGGTTAGCACTGTTGCCTCACAACACCAGGTACCTAGATCTATTCCAGCCTCAGGTGACCGTGTGCTATTTACATGTTCTCCATGGGCTTCCTCTAGGTGTCTGTTTGCTTTCACAGTCCAAAGATATGCAGGTTAGATGGAATGGTTGTGGGAAACACAGGGTATATGGGGATAGGGTTAAAAAATAAAAAAAACACAAACAAAAAAAAAAAAGTGTGGGTGGGGGTTGGAAACAAAGTGGTGGGTCTGGGTGGAATGCTGTTTGGAGGGTTAGCGTAGACTTGATGGGCCAAAGGGCCTGCTTCTGCACTGTAGGGTCCTAGGATTCACTGATGGGAAAAAGAAAAGTTCAGTTCTAAGAGCGAGCACTGCTGGATATGAATATATATAGTGTGGCAATTTTAATTCCTGAAAAAAAAAAATTAAATCCCAATTGGAAGCTTAGCAGTTTTCAAATTTGCCTGGCTAAATGAAAAGGAAATTATAAGCATCTTTGAATATCAATTCACAAAAAAATAGAAGTTTAAATATCTTGACTGAGTACCTATTTTGTAAATTTAATTAGGGAGTAAAACCCTAACAAACAAACATTTGAAAAAAGTTTTAAAATTTCATATGAACCAAACAAGCAATTTCTAAAAAAAAAAAAGGACACAAACCAGTTTTATCAAAGACAAAAAGTTTATAATGTACATTACACTATGAAATATTTTCAATAAACTGGAAAAACTTTGGGAAAACAAAAATGTAATACATACAATAGCAATGAAATTCCAGATGAGGAGTGCTGCAGTGTAGCATTGCTGACAAAAACAAGTACATAGAACTGCACTAGAATCACTGTCAAAATTAGGAAAAAAAAACTACACATCTGTACAAAAATCATAAAAAAGTGCTCAGTGTAACATTTCTTATTCAAGTACATTGATTTTAATAAAGGAAGTGAAAGCAAGGTTCATTTCTGGACAGTTAAATATAGATAGGATTATAGTCACACTTGCCATCCTTACATGGTTCTTCTCATTGCTCTAATCACCATATCTATATGCATTATAAAATAAATTGAATTGCCATAGTCCAACATCCAATTTTGATACCTGAGCCACATCAGCCTCTTCAAATGAGGAAGAGATATCAATGCTTGAAACTGTTCATAGGACACACAGGCACTTGAAAGGTGATGCATGCTATATTATTTTCAAGTTCAACTTATTGCGCTAAAAAAAAAAAGTTAAAACGATGGTGTCAAAGAAAAAAATTAATTCATTGATTTTAGTTACAACCCTTAACTACATACTTTCATACTATACATAATCATTTATATGACTGAAGGATAATCCCTTCCTACTCCCCTAAAAATATTTGTAATATAATAAAAAGATCTGTAGACCTTGTTGTACCAACTCAAACTTAATTCAGCCCAAAAAAGTACAGAAATATGGAAAGTGAACAATTCGTACTCAGGGACATCATGCAAATCCACAGTATCTCAGCAGCAATTCTCACACACGAAAGATAGAAATAATGTGCCCTAAAGCAGAGCGAAATACCACCTCCCAGCACAATTAATTTCATTAGATTATAAACATTCAAAACCAGCAGAATAGCCTTGGTCATAAAACAGAGCATGAGTTTTCTAATGAAGAAGGTGGTCCACACATTTATTGTGAACTTAGGCAACCATGGGAGGATAAAAATAACCAACACGAATGTTTGCTTACAGGGAGATGTTAATCCTTGATGATCACAAGAGTCACCATATTACCAAATTGGGTATAGTATACAGATACACAAGATGATAGTTAATCCTGCTGTTTTGATAATCATTGAGAGGACATCTTCAAAACATCTTAAGTCAAACATGCCCACTCATTCACTCACTGAAGGCCGTGGTCAGTGCCTGAAAAGGGAAAAAAAAAAAGGAAAAAAAAAACCACACTCACGGCAGGATCTACAGATTATCAGTATTTTAAGAACAGATCAAAATTGGAGTGGCAACAAGTGTCCAAGATGATCTTCATATCCTGATCAGGAGAGAGGGAGTGAGTTTCTTCAAAGCAATATATTTTGCATTAAATGTTCTTCTCAGAATTCTAAGTTACACCAATGCCACATTAGAATGTAGCAATAATCATGATCATACTGCCAGAGAAAGTTTTATTTTTCCCATTGACTTTTAGGACTGGTTTGTAAAAGCAATGTTGTAAGCTTTCTATTTGTAATGATCTGTAATCAAGGATGAAATTAAAATCATTGCATATGAAGCAAACAAATAAGGCTAGAAGTGGCAAATAGTCAAAATTTCCAAGGAGCAAAAAACTGCATCTTGTCAATTTGCGAAAATTAACTACAACTGACATTGACAAAAGCTTCCATAGAATTTAAACTCATATTTACTTTCAAACAGTCAAGTTCAACTACTGATAGAGCAATTTGTTATATTTCTCCCAGCTAATTTCAGACTTCTTGTTATCAACATTAGACCCCAAAGTGTTGTGACATTAGTGACAAATCAAGGATATCACCACATATCCCAAAAACCTCAACAGCACGACCAAATGAGACTTTGTCGAAACAAACTGCATACTCGTGCCATTCATATTGTGAACCATTTTCAAAGTTAAATGTTTTAAAGGAGGTGTACACATTGGCTTGAGGCTTTGTACGAAGCTATTTGCTCCAGAGTAGAATCCACTCAACATAGGGCTGTGTTATGCAAAGATGAAAACAGATTTTCATACCAAATGTGTGTGTGGGCTAAGTGGCAGTACATGTTGGGTAGATCTGAACTACCCAAATCAATTGCAGGAGTCACATGTTCATTATGTAATGTTAGGCGTGTCTGAAACCATGCAGTAGAATTACTACAAACAAAGCAAGACAAAAATTGGAGGGACAAGTAGTATTTAATTCATTTAATGAATCCCAAAAAATAAAGATTTCTTTCAGCACTTATAAACCATTGAGCAAAAATCACTCAGTTTTTGTTAGTCAAATACAACTTGCTCTGACAGTATACATTTTTTTGAAGGAAAAAAAAAGGTACATGCCAGACCCTTGGTGAAAATTGGATCCCCCCTCCACCCCCCAGCCAGTAAATTTAGACCTTAAAGTAATCTAAGTGTTTGTTATTTTCCCCCACAAAACATTGCCCACTGTTTTCAGTAATAACACGAGCTACAACCTAGAAATGGGGATATCGGGACCTGAAAAGACAGTTTGCAATTGATCTATTTGAAACTCAAACACAAGCCTGATCGGACTTTCTCCCCACCCTACAATTCTAAACCAAAAACTGAATAAAGTTACTATTGGACTGCTATAGAATTGGGGGGGGGGGGGGGAAGAGGCAATATTTGTAAGCCAATATATGTGTCAATACACTTCATTCAACAAAAAAAAAACAAAAAAATCACTCACAACGATTAGAATCAATAAAAAAGGTTTTGTAACCAATTGTACTACACCAATACTAGCTTAAGAAAAAAAAAGTAGTGTTTCCACGTGGAACACATTTGTAATAACAATCTAAAAAGGATATTTTTCATAATTTTAATAGAATTAGTACAGAAAAACTTGCAAATACCCATTAGATTTTACTGAAATCATAGTGTAAACCTAAGCATCAAGCATGGTTTATTGTTTAAACTTTTAATTATTTTGACAAGAAGATGGTATTATGCTTCAAGTTTAGTCTGCAGGATCTTTGACTGTAAATTTAATGAATATTTAAGGTAGCCAATAATTCACAAGCTTCTCAAATGTAAACAATTACTTACATGGTGCTACATTAAAATTTGCACATACTTCCTCAAAATGGAGCAGAAAAAGTTAGGACTTAAGATCACAAATACAGACATTGGAACCTGGTCCAATAAATTAATTGCACATTTCTATCAAAATTTTGACGGAGATGGCTTTGAGATTTATAAAATGCATCATATGAAAAAGTGTTAGCAGTGTGTCATCAGTTTCCTCAAATTTGAGAGAATCCATCCAAAAGAATTGCGTGTTTAAAAGTTATTCAAATTATACTTTTGGCAGCTGCCTGATACCTCTATTTAGGGTAATCTCAGACTTGCATGGGTTTGTTTGCCTACAAAACTACAGGCTTAAAAATTTCAAAAAAAAAAAGTATTATGAAAATAGTAGTGGATGTTACACAAAACATTACAGCAAGACTTTCCTCCAAATTCTGACAGGTGTCTTGTGTCATCACTGCACAAGTAGTGCCAGTTTTGTACCAAATATCTTATTTATAAAATACTTGTAAGTGGAAAACACAAAAATCCATCCAGATCTTGTATCTTCTATTGGTAGTATTGGAAATAAAAAGATTAGAAAAATCTACCCAATAACTGAAGCATACATGTCTGCTCAAATCGGTATATGCAGACAAACACCTTGTGCTCGGAACAAAGCAATGGATCTTGTGAAGTGTTGCTCAAGAGTTTGCCAACAACTTCAAAAACGAAGGAATTAAAAAAACATTAACTAAGCAGTACAGTTCACTATTACAGTCCTTCACTTTTAGTACACACAACCTTCAAAGTAACAGTTTGGAAATCTGCATCCTATTGATTTGCCCATCAGTTCCCCCACTCCTCCCTTCCCACCACCCCAAAAAAAAAATCCCACAACACTCTCCGATTTCAATGTATATTTTTTTTAAAAAAACAAATCATTGGTCCAGAAGGATATTATTCCTTAAATAGACAGAAACTAGTTATTGGCTGGGGTACAAATGCAAGACAGTGTTAAAGCATTTCTTATGAATACCAATTATAATTAACTGGATTGATGCAAGAGTTAATGCAGATCGCTCTGTATCAAATACATTTCTGCTATCTAATAATTTAGAGCAATGCAATAAACGCAATTTAAGCTAGAGAGGATAAAAAGGTCACATTTTAACCACAAAGCAAATTACCCACACGTAATACCAATTATTAGGTTTTAACATTCTGGATTTAATGGACTGCTTTTCACACCACAACCCTCCATCACCTCCCCTAGTTTTATATAGCAGCAACTCAAATTGGTGGAGACAAGGAGTTTTGCATGTTGATGTAAAACTGTTACATCAATCTATATAAAAGTGTTTATAGAAAAACCTAAAATTTTCCAAAATGTTATAGCCTTTAATAATAATTAAATACATTTTTCTGCTGACACAGTCAGTGATGCACTATCCACATTGCTTGTTCCAAAGCTGTGATAACAGATTCGAGTAGATTCTGATCAGCTGTCCATGAGTTTGCTTTGGAATGTGCCATATAAATCAAGGAGCAGTGGAACAAGTTCAACAACATTTGTTACCCACCATGGTTATTTTAGCTCCGTGTCAATCAATTCCAGTTGACAACCCCAATATTTTAAATGTCAATAAAGTACCACATCACTTAAAATTAGACTGGCTAAATTTACACAGCTGATTCATATTGTGTGTCTTTGTTTTTCACTGGATTGCTGCAAGTCTCATTTCTTTGAGTCCTCATATTGGGATGTTCAGGAGATTCCCGGATGACCTCAAGAGAATGAGTGGATGGAGTTTCCAACTTTAAATCACTGGAGGACTTCTCGCCATTACCACAACACTGCTTTAAGGCACACTGAGTCTTGCATGGCAGTTCACAAAGGGAAATACGTGATTCAGAGTTTACTGAAGCAAATTCTGGTTGGATGGTTGTGGCATGGATTCCTTCATCATGGAAGAAGTCTTTAATGCGTTTTGCTACATCCATATAAGCAGTTGGATCACGGCATTTAATATGGGCTGTTGCAATAATTCTACTACCAGCTAACTGCCAGACATGAAGCTCATGTACAGCAAGTACACCTTCCAAGTTGCGCAGCTTCTCATTTATTAATTCCATATCTATTTGTTTAGGGACTGTTTGTAACAGAATAAGAGCAGATTCCTTCAGAAGAGGATATGTGGTGTAGAGCAAAATACATACCATAATACAGCATAAAGTGGGATCCAAGAACAGTACCCAACAGGGTCCAGCTTCTGGAATATTTTTACTATTTTCAGATATGTTTGACTGTGTGTCATTTAGATGTTCTCGATCAACACAATGATCATGTAGACACATATTAATGCATGGACCATTTTCGGGACATGGGTTCCAAACAAAGTAAAATATCAGAGCATTTACCACCACAATAACAGAGCCCAGGGCATCTCCCAACACATGGAGAAATACACCACGCATGTTCAGTTGCGATGCAGAATTATCTACATCTCCAAATTCATCACGATGGTCGTCAAGAACAGAAATTCCATTCAGTTGTAGACCTTCCATACTATTGTCCCTCAGTAGATCTATAGCAAAATAAGAACAGTATTAGACAAAAACATTTGAAGACTGTAGATATACAGTATTTTCTCTACTTTAAAACCTCAGTTTCTAAATTTACCATGTTTTGTGTTTTTCTTACAA